TAATGTATAGAGAGCACTTGAATAAGAATTAAGAGATGGCTGTAAAAGTATTAGTGAACACAGAAGCTTCTATATAATATATTAATGATTATATGATCTGAAGATTGAAAGAGATTCACTGAGTGAAGAATTTCTGATGTATAAGATTATCTGATAACTGATATTTGATATTATCTGTAAGAGTAAGAGTTCCCTTGCACTTTGAAGAATGATCTTGCTATATTTGAGTGTGAGAGCTGCAGAATGTGAAATACAATCTTATTCTCAGACTCAATTGGTTTCAAAGGTTTAATTCACAGATTCAATAATCTACATGTCATATACAGTTGACTGATAGGAAGAAAACAGTTCATATGATTCTATCAACTGATATAAGAAGAACATTTCACATCTCTGATATAGAAGAATTAAATCTGCTTACATATTAATAAGCAAAGAGAATGATTTGTAAGACCTAATTCAAAAGCATTCTGTATGTTATACAGGACCTGAAAGTGGAGGAAACTAAGATAAAAGATATACAGAAGGATAAGTGTATGAAGAAGCTTCTGAAGAAGTATAGAAAGGTCTTTTAAACAGATCTTTCATCAGAATTACTGCTGGAACAAGAATTCATACATGAGATTGACACAGGGAATGTAAAACCAGTCAATCAGAATGCATATTCTCTGTCACAAATACATCTCAAAGAACAGAAGTGTCAGATCACAGACCTTCTAAAATATAGTCTTATACAACTCTTATCAAGCATGTGAGGCTTTTCAGTTCTATTTATGAAAAAGGCAGATGAGAAGTGATGAATATGTATTGATTATTGAGCATTTAACAAGCTTACAATCAAGAATGAATATTCACTGTCATGAATTTAATAACAGTTGAATACAGTCAGAAATGCCTGATATCTATCAAAGATTGATCTTCTCTCAGAATACTAGCAGATTCATGTAGATGAACTGTCAGTTTCATGAATCACATTTAATACATAATGAGAGAAGTTTGAATTTCTGATAATATCATTCAGTCTGATAAATGCATCTATCATCTTCTAAATAATGATGAATACAATTCTTCATAAACAGAATGAAACCTCATGTCTTATATATCTTGATAACATTCTAGTCTTTTCAAACTTATATGATGAATATCTAAAGTATCTTGATAAAGTGCTTACAACTCTGACAGAGTATAAGCTCTATATTAAATCAATCAAGTATGTGTTTGAAATGAAAGAGTTGAAGTTCATAGAACATGTAGTGAGTAATGACTGTATACATCTCATTTCAGAGAAATTGAATATTATAGTGAATTGATCACAGCTGAGAAATGTACACTATATATAACAGTTTCTTAAGTTAGTCTTATATTACTGCAGATTTATCAAGAAGTTTATATAAATATCTGCATCACTCTCAGATCTCTTAAGAGAAACAGATGCAAATCTGTGAAAGAAGAAGTTTCATTCAATCATCTGAAATGCTGTGTGTGAAGAGGCTTTTCTCACACTGAGAAAATGTATAATAATATCTTCAGTGCTTATTCAATCAGATTGTGATAAATCTTTCTATATTAAGATAAATGCATCTGAATAAGCTATCAGAAGCACTCTTCTACAGATGAGTAAGAATAACAAGCTGCACTCAGTGACATACAATGATAGAAAACTATCAGATGTTGAGCTCAATTACTCAGTATATGAAAAGAAATTACTAGTGATCAAGCACACACTGGTGTTGTGAAATAGATATATTAACAATGAGTATATAATAATAGTGATCACAGATCATGAAAGTCTCATCTATCTATAATTAACAACAAAATCTTTCAAATGCTTAGTATATTGAATCTCAGAGTTTTAAGCATACAATCTTCATATTAAATACTGAAAGAAATCAGACACTGTAATATCTGATACAATCAGTCACAGACCTGATTTCATGAGTGAGAGTTCTGTGAACTAGATATAAGAGATATTCATGTTAAACATACTGAGAGAATGCAAGAAATCAGAATGAGTGAACACTATGATCTCTCACTTGAAGAAGAGCAAGATGTCAGATGACAAGTGTCTCATAAAAGTAGTAGAAGAAATGCTTTCAAACTTCAAGCTGAAGAAATTGAAAAATGATGTTATGCTTTACTGTGATCTAGAATACACAGAAGCTCTCTATCTAGAATCTTCATTTAGACATGACTTAATGACTTACATGCACAAGGAATTCAGTCACTTAGAAAGCCCTGAACTCATGAGCATACTTAAATCAAGAGCATACTGGTCAAGTATGACTGAGAACATTCAGACATATGCTTACAAGTGCTCAAATTATCAGGTTGTGAAAGAATCTAAGAAAGGATTAGAACACAAGAAAGTGTAACATCAGATGAAGTGTATAATACAATTATTCAAATAATGAGAGATGAACCTCATAGATATATTACTATGAATATCAAATGAAAATTGATGAATAATTACTGCTATTGATTACACTACTGACTGGCCAGTTGTGAAAGCAGTTTCAGAGATGACAGAGAAGATGATGATGAAGTTTCTATATAATGAGATCTATGTTAACTATGAAATACTGTGTGAGATTCTAACTGATAATGATGTGAATCTTGTAGAAGAAGTAGTGAGGCATTTCATGAGCCAGTTACAGACAAGACATTGTAGAACAATGTCATATCATTCATGAATGAATGAAAAGATAAAATACTTGAATGAAATCTTGAGTAATATGCTGATGAAATATCTAGTGAGCAAGTCTATGAGATTATGAAATGAATATCTCAGTCATGCACTATTAGTCACGCGAATTCAGCAGCATGCAGTCTTCAAGTGTTTATCATTCTATCTGTTGTATGGATTGCATCCGCGCATCCCGGAGAATGCTTCAGAAAAGGTGAGGGAGGAAGCAGTTGTAAACACAGCAGAAACAGCAGTTGCAGACACAGCAGGAATAGCAGTTATAAATGCAGCAGTAGCAGTTGCAGACACAGCAGTTGCAGATGTGGAATCAAGATTGAAAGAGATCAGCCATGCACATGTAAAAGCTAATGAGTTATTTCTGAACTGAGCAATTCAATTAAAAAGAATACAAGACTCACTAGTTAAGGAATTGAGTCTCAAGATAGAAACATAAGTTCTTGTATATAATAAGAGTTCTGAGAAGTTTCAATCTAGATGGTTTGAGCTATATAAAATACTCAAATCACATTCTCTGAGAATATACACATTGAAAGAATCAGAGAGACAGATCTTATACAACTTAATAAATGATTCATAACTTATGAAAGCAAAGATATAAGACCTGAGTGAATTATAATCATCTACAGCACTATTATCAGCATTGAAAAAGAAGAGACTTATAATTGAAAAGTCTTACAAAGTAAGAGAAATTATAGATACTTATGAATCAGATGATCTCACTTATTCTGATCTTTTCACAATTATAAGAAAAGAATGAGAAGAAATGAAGAAATCAGATGAATATCACACTTCAATAAGTGATGAGACTGTAGTCAGTTGTATAATAATGTACTGCAGACAGTAGATGCAACACAGTAAAGAGTGATCTCAAAGTGACAGACTTGTACATGAGTCAGATTGCAGAAGAAAAAGGAATTCAGAGCTGAATTTAACTGTTTACATCAGTTCAATCACAGAGATCACAGAGAATGAACTATCTGAAACATCTGTGAATATATAGAATCAAGTCATCTCAATCTCTGAGAATACTCAGAGATTGAATGAGATTAGTTTTGATGAGCTGATTGCTATAGTAATCTGAGTGAGTGAAGAGAGACAGTATAATACATGAGACAGAATTATAAAGAATGAAAGCTGCTGAACCTAGTCACTGAATACTGTATTATATAGAGATTACATAAGAGTAGTGACTAGCAGATAAAGAAAAAGTGTAAGAAAAGAGATAATGAATTGATCATTAACTGTAAGAATCAGCTGTAAAAGATAAATGTTATTATACATACTTCATTCATTTTTATATGCTACATGTTTAATCTATTTTCAACATCACATCATCTGAAAAATGTTAAAAATAAAGGAAATCTTAAAACTTAAGATCTGTAAGGGGTTTGAGAGCTGCAAGCTGCTCTTATAATAACACTGTGTATGTCTCTGATTCCTCTACTACTCTGTGTATAACATTAATGTCATTTATTGCAAGATTGGTTGAAATGCTAATATAGAAATGTGTACATGTATATGTAGAGAAATTGAAGAAGAGTGCAGAACCTGCAGGACCAGAAGCCAGAGTAGGAAAGATGAAGATGAAAGAAACAGAAGAAGAAGAAGACATAGAACTGAATAAATAATGATAGAAGTCACTCAGTACTGAACACTTATAATCTGATATATGCATAATCTTCTCTGCAGAAGAGGGAGAGAAAGTGACAGAAGAAGCTTGAGAATGAAAGGAAATAGTCTCTGCAGTATTGTCATCTTCAATTAGAATGGTCTCTGACACTGAAGTAACTAAGAATTATTGTTAGTGTATAAAAATTGAAAAATCAGAGATAAGAACAGTTACTGAATAAACACTCACTAGTCTTAAAGTTATACATGCAATTACAACACACACAAGGCTTCTCAGAAAGAGAGAGAGAGACATAGAGAAATGCAGAAAGCAGAATACAGTGTGTGAACAGCTCATTTTCATGATGACATCTCAGACAAGATGTATGAGCCTCACACCTGTGAGTGTAAAAGAGTATGACATCTGTATTCTCATTTCTGAAAACATGAATATCTTTCACCTGCATCATGAAGTCAGATGACAGATATCAGAGAATAGACTGATACAGATCTATTATCTCAAAGAAATTCATCAGAGTGAATATCTCTGTGATATTGAATTTTACAGTTGTGAAAAGCTTCTTGATATCTGTGAATATCATGACTTTGTACACAGTAAAACTCATAATGATTTTTCCTAAGAACAGGAAAATCAGTATTAGAAAGAAAAGATGAAAAAGAAAAAGACTTATAATCTTGACACTGTTAAGAGAGAGAGTGATTCTCTGATATGAATGAATAATTGTCTCATCATGAATATTTAAAATGAATATAATAATCAGTGTCTGTGACTGAGCCCCGGTGGCCGAATGATTAATGCGGCCACCCGGTAGCACCTTGGCGTGGGAAACCAAGGCGCGTGGGTTCGAAACGCAGGGGATACATTAAATCTGGAACTCAAGCACCTCAGGTTTCTAATAAATACAGAGGTATACAAATCGCTTCAATGAATTGCTCTATGTTCCTGGGCTGGGAAGTTATTATTGCATGTATCTAATTGTCACTCCTTTGTATTTTCCTATGTTCTTGTTATCTTGGCATGGTCTCAACACCTGTATTTCCTCCTGTATAATCAACACTTGACCTGTATTTAACATCACGCAAGGACTCATCATAAGCTCCGCTTGCATATGAGTATAATGGAAGAATAATAATAATAATAAAACTGAGCTTTAGATAGTTGTGTCATACACTGTCTTCATGTAATAAATTGTTCTAGAAATCAGTAAGAAGAGTGAAAGTGTATATACTGAGAAATGTGATTTACTGAGTCTATACAATATCTTCTTGAAATGGGGAGAGCTAGTAATGAAAGCAGAGACAGCAAAACCAGGAGTAGTGAGAGTAGGGGTCACAGGAACAGGGATAGCAGAAGCGGGAGAATCAGACACAGAGGCAGGTGTAGAAGATTGAGAGAGAGTGACAGAGAAAGAAACAGAGAGAGCAGAGAGGGACATGAGAGACCTGATTATATATGACACAGACAATTTCTTCATTATCATGTTCTTCAAGTTCTTGATCAATGATTCAACATTGAGTTCACTATCATCAGTGAATGCAGATCTGTCAATATGTGAAGATTCTATGTGAATAAAAACAAACATCAGCATCTGTGTCCACACAAAATTGTGTCAGAAAACATGATCAGAAACCCGCTGAGAAGGAAATGAAAACAGTCAAGAGTGTATAAGAAGATGAAGAAGATGTGTCATTCATAATAATATGTTCTGATAATTATTAGAAGATCAATAAGTTCTGATCATATTTCACAATGTGTTACACTTACTGCTAATGAACTGTCTGATATGAACACTACAATGACACTTGTTATGAGAACAGAGAGTCATTGCCAGAAATATATATAATGTGATAGATGAACAGATAGAAAGAGTTAAATAGAAGAAGAAGTAGAAATCTTGAATGAGATAATGATATTTAATGATGATGATGATGAAGAAGATAATTAGAGAATGAGAAAAGTTAGTGAATAAGTGATGTAATATAGTGAAAGTTTCTTTATAAGAGTGTACACAGAATGCTAGCTGAATCAGAGATAGATTACATGATCATGAAATGCTAGTGATGAGCTAATCTGCATGAAGCTAGGGTGTATAACATGGTCATGTGAGCATGACTGAATCCAGTGAGAGAGGATGTGGTTCAAAAGAATGTACAACTGTCAGATAATAATGCAGCCGCTTCTGAACTTATGTATGAATGTAAAGAGAGCCATAGCAGTCACTAATTAATTTAGTGTACAATATTACAATATATAAGAAGCCGGCGTACGCCTGTAATTGTACACTGGCTTAAGCAACCTTTGAATCACAGCAGATTGATCTGACTGAGAGAAAGCAGTAGAAATCCTTCTCTGAGAAGACAGTAGAGAGAGATTTTAAGATGATTATTATCTCAGATAAGAAGAAGAAGAAGAAGAATGAGAATGAGAAACAAATTATAAAGAATAATAAGAAGAATAAGAAAGAGAAGAAAGATAATAAGTAGAAAAAGTTTTTTTCTTTTTATATTAATTAGTTATAAGTTTGTAACTATTAGTTAATAATTGAAATTAATTTTAAGTTTTTAAAAATTATTGTATAAGTTATAATCAATTATCAATATCAGGAATAATATATATATATATATTCAACTATTATATCACTATAATGTATAAGTATTAACATTGTTTCAATATTAATATTCACAATATTAATATATTTTTAATGATATTATTTAATAATGTAATTTGATAACACTCTCTTTTATAATATTAATATATTTCAAGAAATATGATAGAGATTAAGTAAGATTATTTATTTACTTTTATACATCAATGATATTCAATCTGAGTTAGTATTAAAATTATAACTAAGCTAAGAAAGAAGAGTATTTTCTCTTATATTAATTCTTCTTACACACATCAGTGATCAGTTATTGAAAATAAATTATTATCTTTCTTAAATTATTATCATATCTTCTGAATTCACTTCTTTCACTTCTTTTACTTCTATTGAAGATTCATAAACTCTTCAAGAAATCACTGTAAATTATAAAGTCTATATTATTTATAATTCAATACAGAATGCTCTCTTTCAATTATAATAAATAACTACTTCATTCTTCACATCTGATTTCAGATCATGAAATTTATAAAAAACTCTATATAAATACTGAGATGAACTATGAAATAATTATTAATAGATTGTATTATAAATTACTGAAGAGTCATCTCTCTGATATAATCACTGTAACTTCATTCAGAAATATTCATTATAAACTAATTATAACTCTGAAGAAATTTGCTGACATCTGAAGTTATCAGAATGCAGATAATAAAAGAAAAATAATCAGAAAATTACTACTAAGCTGATAAGTTACTCTATCAGATAATGATTTTTAATAATACTAACTTTCTAATTTGAAGAAAATCATGTAAAAATAATCATATATCAGTACTCTGATTTCATAACTCTCATCTGATAACTTCTGTGAATAATTACTTTAAATATATATATCTCTGAATCTTTCTCTTTAATTAATTGAAAACTCAGAATTCTGAACACTTCTTTAAATACTTAATTTAAATCTTCATATTTCACATTGAGTCTGTCTTCAGTTCAATCTTGAGATACACTATAAAGTTAATATATAATATCTAGAATCAGAGTTGAATAATTATTGAAGAGTATCTCTTACAATGAATATATAAACTAGTACAAACAATCTTATATTTATAAGAGTTATATGTTATTATATTGATAAGAACTGAACTTATTAAGAGATATTAATTGAATTTAAATCATTGATCAGTAGTCATACTGAGAATTATATAGTAGAAATATTAATAACTGTGATTAAAAATGACTATTATAATATTAGTCTCAGTCATCTTATATTTATAACTGATAATACTGTGAATAACTATACTATAATGAACAGCTTGAAGTAAAAATTGACTTTGCATTTCTGAAATAATAAATAAGGTCATATTCTCTGCATTACTTATATAATTTAACTTATAATATAAACACTAATAAAGAATCTTAACATTGAGATGAAGAATAATAAGATAACTGATTCTTAAGATGAGAATGAGATGAAAGTGATTACTCAAGTAACTTTTATATTTACTTTAAAAAGATAATATTTTTTGATAACACTTTTTAATATTACTTTTTGATAATACTTTTTAATAATACTACTGTTAATTTTGAATAGATTGACTAATAATTTAAATATCACAGATTTAAAACATTACTAATATAATTTATATCTTCTCTAAATAATAATAATAATTTTATAATGTTTAATAAATAAATAAATCAGTTACATCACTGAATATGATACAGAATATTAGAATATAGTGAAGTTTAATATATAAGATAACTGTTCAGACTCTTCAATTATATCAGATAATTAATTATTAAGTGTAACACTCTGATTGAGAAAAGATTCAGATATTGAAACTTTCTGATATGAAGTGAACTCAGTGAAAATATATGATTGATTCACTGTTTCAGTTTTATAAGATAATAAAGACAGTCTTAATCAGCCAGCGTGGCCCAGTTGATAAGACTGGGCTGAGCCTAATTAGTAAGGCTTGGTGCGGGGTAGAACTCTCTACTGCAAGCCAAGCCACTAGTTAAGTGAGATCCTGCGAACACCCATCAGGGCCGGCATGGGATGCCAATGTCTCACTATTCTACTGTACACCCATCAAGGTTCTAATGATATAGAGTCAAGCCTAATGTAGTGGTTATACACTACTTAAGCAAGTCCCTAACTAGGGCCGTCATCGGAGCCTAGCTCCCCCCCAAATACAGAGAATGATTTTGAAAACCACTCAACTAGCAGGCCTAGACACGCATCTAGGCCCTAGACAGGGCACCCTGATAGGCTAGTGCCTGCAAGCTCACTGCCAACCCCTAATACTGGCAGGGAGGACTGCAGTCATCAAGCCTATGGTTAGTCCCTAACACGGGGCGAGGCCATGACAGCTGATTGGTAGGCCTATGAGCATCTAATGAGGCCGAGATCAGCAACCGGAAGCTTGGTGTGTACACCACCAAGTGGGTGGTGGCAGCCACTAACTAACGCCCCTGGAAATTAGTGACTGGCCCGAGAGGACGGACGCGGTGATCAGTTAATTATAGAGGGTTAAATGTAATTAGCTTAAGGTGCATCCTGCGGGTGGCTAGCACCCGTAGATCACATTCAACAAAGAACTGTCAAGGCAGAAAGACTATTGAACAACATAATCAGACTATCAAATACAGAGAGAGGTCTATCCTTCCAGGCTATGAGACAGTTATATATAGCCTGTATTACATCAGTAGCTGATTATGAAGTTTAAGTTTGATGAAATAATCAAGAGAATTTCACTGAACTCTTTCAAAGTCTGTAAAACAGAGTCTTGAGAAGAATTCTGAGAGCATTCAAATCATCTTCTATTAAAGCAATGAAAATTGAAGCTTCAATTTCTTCTTCTGCTATTAGATTTGAAAAGACCTGTATGAACTATGCTCTGAGAGTTGTAAAGATGAGCTTAAATCATATAATCAGAGAAAGAGTCTCTTCTTCATTTTCATCAATTAACTCTGAAAATGAACTGAATTAAAATAGATTTCTTGATTGAAATGAAAATAATTCTTCAAAGAAAATGTCTTCTTAACTGTACAGACTATACTCTCTGATTAAAAATCAATTTTTCTCTTTAAATCTTGAAAAAGTTGATCATGAGAAGCTATCTCTCTGAAGAGAAAAGCTTGAATCTCTTATAGACTTATAAATAAATGAACTATCAAAAGAGAAAGAATATGAACAGTATTTGAAGAGAATTTCTACAATCAATATAAAAGACTCTATTCTGATTTATTCAGATGACTTAAAAAATGAGAACTTGAATAGATTAGATGCAGACATTGCTTATACTGAAGATAATATTAATTTTATCTCAGATTTCTGAAATCTAGACTCTGAATATGAAGTCTTTGATGCTGAACTATTTATAATAGTGAAAGCTTTCAAACTCATTGAAATAAAATCTTATAAAAGAGAAAATTGTTTAAAAGAGATATGAATATTCTCTGATAGTCAAGCTGCTTTAAAAAGACTTAGAAATAGTCAGATTTATAATAATCAAATGAATCTTGAACTGATCTTAAACTCTGTTTTGAAAATTCAAAAGAGAAGAATATCAAAGCTGATAATTTATCTGCACTGAGTTCCTGCTCATATGAATATTCATGATAATGAATTGACTGATTCAGCTGTAAAAAAGAGTGCAGAATTAAGCAGATCTATTCAAAAAATTATGTTCTGATCTTTTATAAGAAGAAAAATAAAAGAATCTTGTTTAGACAAGTGAAATGAAAGCTGGCAGAAATAAAAGAAGAGTATACATTATTCAAGATTTGAAACAAAACCCAAGTGAAAATCTTATTCAATTAAATGTAAAAAGAAAATATTCTCATCTATAATACAGCTAAAACTAGGATATGACTATTTCAAATCTTATATACAAAGATTTGATGATAGATTTGACTTAATAGAATGCTCATTCTGCAATACAAATGAGAATTC